GTAAAAATCATAATTTAAAAAAATTATGTTTTTTAAAACTAATTTAATCAATTAAATATTAAATTATTTAAATAAAAGACTTTTTATGGGAGTTTGATTTTTTGTTCTAAAAATTGTTTTTATAACTTCAACATATGTCACACTAATTAGAGTTATTTCGTTGTCAGCTTTTCACAAATTATTGCCAGCTAATTTCCCTAATATATATATTTTTTTTTTAAATATTAAAAGGATAATTTTATGATGCATAAAAGGGGATGCCGTACATAGTTGAGATCATCTGTATTATACAACGGATCAATTAAAAACCTGCCTTGATATTATATAGGTATGTATTTATGTATATGTGTGTATGTTTGTTTTTTTTAATGCATGCATGTATGTATGTATGTATGTATGTATGAATGTATGTATGTATGTATGTATGTATGTATGTATGTAGGTATGTAGGTATGTATGTATGTATGTATGTATGTATGAATGTATGTATGTATGTATGTATGTATGTATGTATGTATGTATGTATGTATGTATGTATGTATGTATGAATGTATGTATGTATGTATGTATGTATGTATGTATGTATGTATGTATGTATGTATGTATGTATGTATGTTTGTTTGTTTGTTTGAATGTATTTATGTATTTATGTTTTTTAACGTATGTATACATTTATTCATGTATGCCCATCTTTTATCCTCGCCCTTGAATCATGTCTTAAAATATTTAAAATTTAAATATTATTAGTTGCAAAGAAAGCCAAACAGTATATTTTCCCCTGTGTGTTTGAGTTACTGTTAAACTTATGTAACAGTACCCATTGAAAAATAAATTACTTTAACATGTCTTTATTTATTTTAAGAGAAAATGTAACACATCACCACATCTTTTTCAAGAATGTAATGCGTGCAGAAGTAAAGACAGTCATCCACATCGAAATGAAAAGATCGTCTTTCTTGCGCTTGATACGTGTTTTTAGATTAATATTAATTGTGTTATTTCAGTAGTTTCAATTCTTTCTGTATACAAATGCCCAGTATAAAACATATTTTAGTTTTGAGATATTTTTATGCTTGTTAAAATCGGATAATATATTTTTGGAATGAACAAAAAAGTAAAACTTATAAAATATAAAAATACAAAGCTAAATGTGTTTTTAGATTTAGCGAATTTCAGCAATTTAAAAAGCAATCCATTAAATTGATTCATTTCACTTTTAAGCAGAGGAAAATATCGTTATCAATATTGTCAGTTGCAGTTTTTAAATTAGAGCAATTTTAGCTAAATTTTGGCTAAATAAAATGTTCGGAGCTATGACGTCATGTGCGTGATTATTTAAAACAAATTAGTTTAATTTTTTGTTGTTGCCATATTCACAACGTATTAAAAACTTAATAAAAAATCTGATGTTTTGATTTTCTCGATAAATGTAATTACGGTGTAATTCTTTGAATATATATATGTTTAAAATTTTTAAATTCTTTTTTATAACTGTCAAAACATATAAAATGGTTAACATAGTTCCTTAATTGATACTTTAAATGTTTTTGTACTTTATAAAAAAGATACATAAACTTTTACTAATATAAAGGCGTTATTTATAATATTTTTGCGCATTAAAATTTATTCGATTTCAGTAAAATAATAACAAATTGCTATGATTGTTTTTAAGAATCCGAACGTATGTAAATAATTTCTGTTCTTTGGCGTAGCATCAGCATAACTCATATTATATGTGTTCAATAGCTTGGGAAAACTTTTATTAGAATAGCTTTAATCAAATTTCAAAATAGTTAGACAATTTAAGCATTTAATTTTAGATATTGGGACTTCTAAATATTATACTTAGTGTAGAAAATATACCTTTCATTATGAAACTGCTGACACTGGTGCATATTTATGCTATATATAAATAAAAGCTAATGTCACTACATAGCGCAAAGAACAATAGCGTATATCAAAAAATTTTGCATTTAAATTTATGACATAAATTTACATTGTATTATATGATATGCGTAAGTATTATTGCGGTAAATTATAAAAGCAACTCAATTTATTTTTAAACATTTATTGGAATTTTTTTAAGCATTGTGAATGTTAACGTTTTATTTAATTTTGACAGCGATTTTTACCCGATTTGGGACTTTCCTGATCGTTCATTAAGTTAGTAATAAAAGGACATTGAATCAATACAATGCGCATGCAAGTTTTATTCCTTTCAATGCAAACATATTTTTATTTTTAAAAAATTACTTTAATCAAAGTTTGAAACTCTCTTTGTCATTTTTTTTTCTTGAAACAGTTTAAATTATGATTATAACTTGAATGAAATATAAAATGTGCCCCTGCCATTATTTCTACCTTCTCAAAAATTAGCATTAAAAACTTTTTTGAAAAAAGTGCGTTTATTTGAAACATTTTGAATTTATAAAATGTGTAAAAAAAAAATTTAGACACTTAAACAATTTATTTTTTCAAAGATGCCATTCAAATAAAAAAGTTCAAAGAAATATAAATTCAAAATAACACTCGCTGACTCAGTGATCACTCATCTGAATAACAACAAAGCGTATGCATTTGCAAAGAATCACACAAAAAAATTCGATTCACATTTTAACTTTCATACAGATTTATTGTAATATAATAACATTTATAATATACGTAAATAAACTAAGAACTAGCATATTTTGATAATATGGATATAATTCATGGTGTAAGTTGAGTGGAACATTTCCATATATAATTTTTTTTTTTTTAATTATGATTGCTAACAAGCGCATACAATTGGGAAAATTTGGAAAGAAATGCATTCAAGTAACATACTTTATAAGAATCCAACCGAGTTTTAACTTGTTAGAACTTACTTTTGCCCTTCTACAGCCGTGAATACAAAGCTAGACAACTAGTAAGAAGTCTAATGTTTCTCTCTCTCTCTTTCTCTGTCTCTGTCTCTCTCTCTCTCTCTCTGTATGTTTGTGTGTGTGTGTGTGTGTGTGTGTGTTTAGAAAATCAAGAGAGTATGAAAGAGATACTTTTTTAGAAACTATACATGCCCAATATGTACGATCAGAGTTTAACTAAATCGATACATGTCTCATTAAGAGATATGAGAAATTATGATATAAAAAGTATACTTTTTTTCGTCGACACTAGTACTTTACTACAAAGTACTTATTTACAAATTTACCGGCGTGCTTCTTCTGAAGTCACTCATCTTAATGAGAACTAATAAGTCCCCGATTTTGCAAAGAGAATTCACTGAATGGCTGTTTGAAATAATTTATATTAAATGTCTTGTGTTCAAATTGTTTTATTTTTGTGCTGAAAATGTATAATGCCATCAAAAAATAGTTCCATTTATTTGGATCAATAAAAGAATCTTATCTTATCTCAATTTAATCATGTAAACAGTAATTCTCAAAAAATATTATATTAACTTCGAGGGGCGTAGCTGGGAAGGGGAAGCGGGGGTGTGGACCGCATCGAGTGACAACATTTCAGGGGTGACACCAAATTAAAAAAAACGTATATTTACAGAGTAGGCAATGCTTGCTGTAACCTAATTTCGTAAAAGAATAACCGATCATGCGTACATTTACACACATGTGACCAATCCTAATTGAAAACACTTGAATATTGTTATACAGACTTTCAACCAAACGTTTTAGTGGTCATCATGTTTCTCTTAAAAGTTAAAACAGTGAAAGATAATTTTGCTAAATTTGGCCAGGATTGAAGCTATATGTGATCCTCTTAAAATTTGGATACAATAGGTAAAGCACAAGGTCTTTTACATGATGCATATGATTTCTCGCTTATCTTCTACCTTTACAGTTGATCTGATCTACTTGAGGAAGGTAATTTTAGACAGAAGTAATTTGCAGACTGAAGGCTTTAACTTTGACAAAGTTTTGACCAACCTATAGGCCTTAAAATTGTTTTTGCAAGAGAAGCGCTGTCACATGTTAGAACATGTTATTGAAAAAACAATTTTAAAATCAAAATGAAATTTTATTTGAAAGGATTAAGGTTTAAGGGAAAAGATGGAGAACAATTAATAGATAATAAAATCTTTCTGTGAGACGAAAAATTTGGAAAATACTAGAGTGTATTTGATCACTTTCATTCGGAACTTCAGTTCTGATCATCAGCGATCAAGAAAGTAGCAGATATTTTTGGGGCTGTTAAACCGAAGAGTCGGCTATCAGCAAGTGAAGAAGAATTATACGTTTTCGTTCCAAAATTAACCACGTTCTATAATGAGTTATCAGAATATGAAATTTTAAATGAAATACAAATTCTTAGAAGACACCTAAAAGCAGCTGATATTGAATTTCATAAATTCATTGACTGGTCAGTATATGATGGTTTTAAATTCATAGCTGAATGGGACTTCCTAGAGTCTCGTCCGATACTCTCTCTAAGCCTTCATTTTTTAAAAACAATCTGAGTATCTGTGTTTTCATATGATAAGAACTTCTCAAAACTAAGAAGGATCAAGAACTATTTACGATCCAGAATTGGACAGTCAATACATTATGATCTGGGACTACTATTCATTTAATGAGACTACTATTCATTTAAAGTGATAAGTTGAAGGTTATTGATTTATTTCAATTTTTTGACAGGTTTGCAGCTTTAAAGAACAGGCTAGAGAAAATTGTAAATAAATTAAAGAAATGCAAAAATAACTATTATTTAACGTAGTTACAGTTCTTAAATACATTTACCTCCTAACCTTCCATTAATTATTTTTTTTTCTTGTCATTGCTATACTGTGGACTTATTTTAAAGGGAAGCAATTGATCGTGCAAGTTAGAGAGAGGTGGGTGACACCATGAGTTAACAGCACCTAGTTTTTACCAACTCTAGCTAACCCTAACCCTCCACAGATAAATTCATTGGATTTTTTTAGTGACATTAGCAGAAAGAGGCTTATAAATCAGAATTATCAAACATCTTAGTAAAGTTGTTCTATTCGACGATTTTTAAAAAAAATGGCTGTAATGTATTTATTTTCCTATAATGTGATGTTATCACTCACACTAATATCTGTTTACTTTCATATATAAATAATTCATCGTATGACCATAAAATAATCAGCATCCCATTTTACTAACTTTCCAGGTATTTTATATTTTGTGTAATCTACATTCAAGTCTTTGTCCAACACATCGTGTTTATTGTTTATTAATGTCACAAAGTTATCATTAGCATCGTCTATAGTATAATAACTTCTACTTGCATTTTTTGACTGTCAATTGTTATTTGGTTGTCATTGCCAGCTTGTAGGTTGCCATGACTTTCATAGTTTAAATCAATTTCTTCATAAACAATACCCTCGTATGAATCAGATGACGATTTACTTTGCAAATTCGTCTGATAGCAAGATACTGTTAAAACAATAGTTTAAACGTTTTAAACGAAATAAATCAATTAATTAAAATTAAAAAAAAAATAATTATAGAAGAAATTAAAAACATTTTTATTTTTAAAAATAAAGATGCGTTTATCTGCATAATTCTTTTAGATTTTTAAAAATAATAAATATTAACGTTAATGTCAGCCAATCCATTACGAAAATACATTTTCTAAGCTCATTGCATTAGATGCCATAATTTTGACTCTGTGCAAAAATATACTTTAAAAAATATCATGTACCTGTTATTTTAAGTACTGCTGTTTTATGTTTAACAGTTTATATATTTTTACATATTAGCAATCAACAAGCAATAATGTGTTATTGTATACATACCTTTCTTCCTAAAATAACATATAACAAAAATGAATAAAAGAAAAGCAGCTGCAGCTCCAATACCAACAACTAAAGCAACGACATTAGGCTGAAGTGTACTGGTTAATATGCCTGAAAATATTACTTAAATTTTATTTGACAAATAAACAAATAGTATGTCTTAACGTTTAATTATCAAACTCATGGAACATTTCACATAAATATTATAACGGAATTTTGATTATTGGGATAATGAATGCACCATATATTTTAACACATAACTTGATGTTAGTGAAATCCCTGGAAAACAACAATGGCAATGCAATTCAGATTCTCTGATTTTAGTAAAATGGCTGTTTTACGCGCTTTCTTAAAAGTAGGTAAAAGCGAACCACTAGCAGGGCTCTTTAAGTTTAAGCAAGATTGTTCTTATAGTTTGCGTAAAAATTATTAACGCGTTTTTGGCTTAAAAATCTTTCACATTTTAATTTGCTTGCACACCATTTTATTGAAATACAGTCAAATGTAGAAGACTTAATTAAAATCATAATTGACTGCAAATCCGGGTTCATCTTGCAGTAGTTTGAGTTTTGGTTGAATTTGCACTTTCCCTTGACTGTTACTTCATTATAAAGGCAATTTGAACATAATTCTGTCCCTGCGAAATTACGACAGCTGTAATAGCAATTCTAATAGGGCCAAATGTCTTTACATAAGATTAATTTATTAATTGCTATTGTATGAGACGTTATAGGAGTTTTTCGAGATCGAAGACTTAAGGGCAGATCAATGTCATTTTGTGTCAAATCAATGCTTTTGTTAAAAAGTGTGTCACCGTAATTTCATACTGAAATGATCTCAAGACTGATTGGGTTGCACAGAAGATCCCTTACAATAATTAGAGTACCATTGTATAATATCCTCTTTGAATGGAGATTTCTCAGTAGTATAATAAGTACTTTTCTTTGGCATCCAAAAATAGGGACACCTACTGAAGGATGTTCGTCAATGACCAACTATATGCTGTTAAAATTGCTGGGTTGACAGACAGCAGTTAAATGATCACACCGTTAATTTTGAGCGTTCATTAAGTGGTCAGATCAGTAGTTATCTGTTTCGATAACTCTTCGACAGACATCTGATATATATTCGATTGAAAGGTGTATTTACTTGAGATTCTATCGACCGATCTCTGATGTTACAAACATAAATTATGTCTTCGTAGGATATTTTTGGAACTCACTGCATATATCCTGTTATATTCTGAAAAAATCAGTTAGTGTTTATAAATTGTATATTGTTTAAAGATGTACGAAAGTGATTGTTTATGAGGGCATTGTTTTTTTAAAAAGCTAATACTGATTGTAAAGCAGGTCGTAGTCATAGTCCATCAACGCTCCTCTTACATCACTAGGCATTAATGCGACGCTGATAAACTAAATAAAGCTCGTCATTCTGATCGTAATTAAACTGTAATTAAATTCTCAGGAGTCGGGATTGAAAATTTTACGTCCTAAAAGCTTCTTCCACTCATCTTACGGAAGTGTTAGACGCCCTATAAGAGGGATTCTACAGTGGTTTTCCACAACGCAACTAATTTCCGAAGTAGTTGGGACGAAACGGTTACTTTGGAGCAGCTTCTCAGGGCTGAATAGTAAGAATCATCGGCCAGAGTTTACCACCTTGGTTTTAAGTCATGTCTTGACTTAATAAAAAAAGGTTCGTGACTTATTTATAAAATATTATTGATATAGTAGTGATTGTTGTATACTGAAATAAAAGATATGATAAAGTCTAGGAAAAGCTTTTCATGATTGCACTTACCGTTCACATGTGACATATTAACACCAAATCTCCACCAAATCTCCAGAGTTACATTGATTATGCGATCAGATGGCAAAATAAGATCTAAAAAAATTATTTTAAGATCTAAATATTAAGTTTTTGATGCAAGATATTAATTTCGTATATATACCTGTGTGAACGGAAAAACTGTAGTTAAGTTGGGGTACGATTCCATTGTCAACACTAAATACATAGTAACCCGATGTTTTCTCGTCCAAGAAATTGAAACGCAAATTCACTCTTCCATATGGCGAACCCTCATCTTGATATGCGATCATATAAATTGAATCCAAAGCATTTCCAGCAGTGACATTATCAAATTTTATTAACAGATTGCCATTTTTGATTAATGAATATCTTGTGGGCTTGGGATAGCCATAAACGTGTAGTTTAATTAATAAAGTTTTGTTAATCATTGAATCCAGCTGAAATGTTGAGTGTTTTGTTTTTTCTTTCAGTTGTGTAGGACCTGGAAAAATATAATAGTGTTGTTTAAATTTAATAAGAAAAATATTAAGACATGTATAATATATGTATTTTTTTTTGTTTCATTAGGTAAAAAGGTTATTAATATTTTTTTTAAAGAATAGGTTTCAATAGGTTTTGCAAAAATAGAACCCAAATTTGCTTTATCATCATGCATGGACTGACCAATTATACTAAGAAAAATAAGGTATGCGAGACAATGGAAAGTCACGAAAATGTGTATGAAGAAAAAATAGGTAAAAGTTAAATTAAAATAAAATTAGAGTTATCGAGAGTTGAAAGTTTAAAGGAATGTACTTTAGAGACGAAAATAATGCTTACCAGGAAAGACCTTAAATGTGAGAGAGCTGATTAAGAATTAATTTAAGAAAATAATAAAGCATGGGACAGGCGGGCTGAATAATTTTAGGGCACACTTGAAGCAGACAATGTACAAGACGACTATCATCAATTACCTCATTGACGACAATACCATTTAGTAAACATCCCAGCTTTGGAACAAAATACAGTCATATAACCAATTCCATTAACAACAACAAAACACCTAGAGAATACCTCTTCACAGTGGCTCATATTAAAAATATAGGAAGAGAACTGCACACCCAGACACAAAAAATATAACAGAAATTTGGGAATGATATAAAATTCAAACACAATCGACAACAGAACTAATAACCCCAAAATGGAAGAAAGGTTTCAAACTTAAATGCACAAACAACAGGATGATTTCCCAATTAAATATCAAATACAAAACACAAAAAACAATTGTCAAAAGGCAGATCCATACTCTGAAAACATACTAGGTGACAACTAATTGGGATTCATATAAAACAGATCCTTAAAGTTCCTCATATGATGTGCATTAGAAAAATGTTTCGAATATAATATCCAAATGCATCAAGTCTATGTCGACTATAGCAGCATCAATAATATAAATATATGCTGCTCTTGTAGCAAAATGTCCTCTTGTGGTAGGTTCCCTCTGAACGGCCAAAATGAGCAGTTTTAAAGTTTAAACTCATGTATCCTTCTGCTGATGTGATCTAAACCAATCGCGCTTCAAATAAGTCACTAACTAACGCACATATTCTGGTGAAGGTCTGAGATTACTCTCTTATGACCCCGGCTAGTAAATTGGCTATCAACTCCATCTGTTGAGCTGAGCCATACAACATTTCCCTCACAAAGGATCCTCCAACCGCCCTGGCTTCCCCCGGGAGATCTAGTGCGGGACACTCCGTCAACAGATGTTCTAAGGTCTCTGGGGCCAGGCTGCAGTGCCGGCAGGTAGGATCTCTGTTGTTGTCCAACCTCCAGAAATATGTGCGCAGGGGGCAGTGCTCGGTGCGCATCTGCGTTACTAGACTCTGCACTCTACGACCTAACCCCCACCATGGGTCTTGTTTGCTAGGAGTAGGCAAGTTCGAATAGACGCCTCTGGCGGTCGTGTTGTCAGCCCATTGCCTGTACCACTTCTGCCTGAAGTGGTCCGCCAGCCAGTTTTTGACTCCCAAGAAAGTCATTGGTACTTCTGGCTGAGGCTGGGCTGCCCCGGTTTTCGCCAGAGTGTCAGCTATCTCATTGCCACTGATGTTGACATGCCCTGGTATCCATTGCATTTCAACCTTGCACCCTATTTCATCAAGTCTGCATATGTCGTTGTGAATGACGTCGACCAAGCTTGTGGTACCCTGTCTCTTCTCCAAGATCTCAAGAGCGGATCTTGAGTCTGAGAAGACGACAATATCGAGCCCCGCATGTTCCGTCCCTTCCAGAGTGATACGGACTCTCTCCAAGGCCTTGTGCATAGCTATAAGCTCCGCGTCAAAGTTTGACGCTGTAGTCCCACAAGGCCCGGAGAGTTTTTCATTGGGTGGTCCACCTACTGGGTACTGAATAAGCGCACCGTACCCAGCAGTTTTTTTCCTAAAGTCAGCAGAGCCGTCCGTGAACACTTTCACAGGTATGTGCGTGAACACATCCATGGTCTCAAGGGCAGCCACTCTCTGTACATGTTCAGGGCTTCGTTTCGTCACTGCTGCATCTGTCAAGGCCAAATGTATGGAGGGGCGTGAGGGTTCCGCATAAGGCGGATTAACTGGGATTTGGGTCAGACGTTCTCTATTTGGGGGCAGGGGGACTGTCCTCTCCAGCTCCACGACCTGGTGCATGAAAGAGGACCTCTTTAGTCTCCTGCCACCCACCCAGTTATTTTGCATTTGAAAGGCTGGTTCATTTTCACCGAGCCGTCGGTACCTCTCTACGGTATTTAAGATGGATTTTTCCCTCCTAATTTGTAGCGGTTCTACATTGGCCAAGACTTCTACAGCAGCTGTGGGAGTAGTCCTGTATGCGCCACAGATGAATCTCAGTGCCTGATTCTGGATTCGGCCCAGTTTTTCCAGTGCGGTCTTGCTTGCAAAGGATTGGACCGGCATGCTGTAGTCCATCACCGACCTTACACTGCTTAGAAAGAGAGCTCTAAGCGTACTTGCGTTCGCGCCCCAACTTGTGCAAGCCAATTTTTTCACCAGGTTGAGCTTGGCGGTCGCCTGGGAGCAGAGGTCCTGTACAAAATTATGCATTTGTACCTTTTGGTCCAGCTTAACTCCCAAGTAGACCGGTTGTTTGTCCCACTTTAGCGCTACATCGCCCACCTTGAGCTCGATCTCCTGTTTGAGAATGGTCCGCCCATTTGTGAACAGTGAGAGACCGTCTTCTCGGTGTTACTTTCCTGATGCCACCACCGCATGTACCTGTTGATAGCAGAGAGGTCCTGCTGTAATAGCGTTTGCAGGCGGTGGACATCCTTCCCGGTGCTCCAAATTACCAAATCGTCCACATACATGGCAGAGCTAGTCGTTAGCACCTGTGGCAGGTCATTGATGTACGCAAGGAAGAGGGTGCAACTGAGGGCAGACCCTTGCGGGAGTCCTTCCTCAAGTGTCCTCTTCCTGGAGGTTTCACCGCCGAATTTCGTGTTTATCGTCTGGTTTGTGAGGAAACCGGAGATCCACCTGTACATGTTCGCGGTTACTCCCAACTTCTGCAGTTTCAACAATAGACCGGACCTCCAAACTCGGTCATAGGCTTGTTTGAGGTCAAAAAATACTGCCACTGTATGGGATTTCTTTTGGAGCCCATCTGTTATGGACTGGAGAAGACGGAGCACTTGGTCCACAGGCTGCATTCCCTTGCGGAAGCCCGCCTGTATTGGGCTGAGACTCTTAGTGCTCTCCAAGTGCCAGTAGAGTCTCTGGTTGACCATTCTCTCGGCCACCTTCCCTAACATCGATGTCAGGGAGATCGGCCTGTAGCCATCAGGTTTATCGAGTTTCTTCCCTTCTTTGGGAATAGGGACAATGGTAGCGCTTAGCCAAGCTTTGGGTAGGATTCCCGTTACCCATGTTCTGTTGATAATTTCCAATAGCGTTGTCCTTGCTATTGGGCCAAGGTTTTTAATCATTTCATTGCAGATTTTGTCCTGACCTGGTGCCTTGGCGGCGTCACACTTGTTAATGGCGGTTTGCAATTCGGCCAAAGTGAAAGGTGCGGTGAAAACTTCAGCATGCGGCCCCCACTTCTGGGCCACTTCTCCATTACGCCGGAGACGGTTAAGGTTCTGGCTCTCTCTGGTCTCTTTCTGCTTCCGATTTATCTTTGCAAAATGCTTGTTTAGGGCATCGGCACTTTTGGCATCTGTGGTAGCCGTGCCTGTCGTCGTTTGCAACGGTCGCAGATTCCTGATTTTTCCCGTGCAGGATAATGAGTCCATCAATCGCCAGACCTTTTTTCCGTCTTTCAGGTCGAGTTTTCCACATGAACTAACCCATTTTTCCTTTTTGGCCCTATCGACCTCCTTCCGGACCTCTGCCGTCAGTTTATTGTAAGCCGCTCGAGCAGCGGCCGTCTTCAACTTACCGGCTTTGGTCCGGGCTCTCTTTCGTTCACGGACTAACCTCGCCAAATTCTTATTCCAAAAAGGACGGAACTTGCGGTTCCCGTTTGTTCTCGGGATTGTTTGTTTTGCCACAGTGAGGATACCACTCACAAAGTCGTTATATGCATCGTCAATGCTTTTGGATGTATTGGGAGTCTCAGTTGACTCCGCAATCATGCGTTCTGTTCGCTCCTGGAACAGGGACCACTTGGCTTTGCCAAACAGCCAGTGTCTCCTAGCAAATCTAGGTCTTATAAGTGAAAGACAGATTGTAATGAGGGTAGGTTTGTGGTCACTGCCAATCTCATCTAGTACTTCATACTGGGTCTTCGCCTCGAGCTCAGCAGAGACCAGTGTAATGTCGGGACGTGACAGGGCACTATTGCCCGTGTGGAGCAGTGTGGGTTCACTGTCCCCATTCTGAAGTCTGATAAGATTGGTTGTGAGCTCAACCTCCTCTAAATAACGCCCAGAGGCGTTAGTGTCAGGGTAGCCCATATCCCCCATATGGGCGTTAAAATCACCAGCTATGATCCTATCACTAATTGGCTTTGCCAAACAGCCAGTGTCTCCTAGCAAATCTAGGTCTTATAAGTGAAAGACAGATTGTAATGAGGGTAGGTTTGTGGTCACTGCCAATCTCATCTAGTACTTCACACTGGGTCTTCGCCTCGAGCTCAGCAGAGACCAGTGTAATGTCGGGACGTGACAGGGCACTATTGCCCGTGTGGAGCAGTGTGGGTTCACTGTCACCGTTCTGAAGTCTGATAAATAAGTCACTAAATGGGTTGAAATAAAGTACTCTTTAATTATTTATATGATGTGTTAAGAAAAAACCACACAATAAACAAAGTAGTAACAATAGTGTTCACATTTGAAAGAATGGAGCTACTTGCAGCCAGCTCTACCAACAAATCACTTATTACTTAAAAACAGAAGCATATTTGCGCCCATAACATTAATTTGGAAATGCGTCGGAGCGAATTCATGGCTGACAAAAGTGTTGCGAAACATGCTGAAAAACCTAGAGAAAACATTATTGCTGTTTGAAAATAAAATATACATAGAGCAGTATCACGTGATATGATTGTGACACTTCCTCATTTTCGAGAGACGTTAGGTGAGACTTATGTTGCAAATTTAAAATAAAACAACAACGGTCATTTGACGTAAATTTCTGTTAACAATACATTAAAATAGGAGCTTTAATATGGGAGAAAGTAAGTCTCAATTATAGCAACATATCATCATTCATAAATGCAAGTCAATACTATTTTAGTGGCATGTCAATACATACATATATATATATATTTATATATATATATATATATATATATGTATGTTTGTATACAAATAAGAATGATTTATTGTCACATAACACCAAAAGGGAGATACTATTTAAGTAAGTTCGGATTCCTAAAAAAAATCATAGTTATTTTCTATTATTATAAGGAAATCGAATAAATTTAAATATTTCAAATCTGCTTTTATTTTAGTAAACGTTTAAGTATTTTTATTTTAAATTACAAATACATTGAAAGTATCAACTAAGGAACGATTTTAAGCATAGTATATATGTTTAAAACGTATGAAAAAAAATCATGATCAAAGAATCGCACCGTAATCACATTTATCAGAAAAACCCAAACAGCAGTTGTTTTCAGTGCGTCTTTTAGTGCGTTGTTAATATTGCGAAATAAAATTTTAAATTAATTTGTTCTAAATAATCACGCAAATGACGTCATAGCGCGAATAGCTTATTTCTACCAAACTATTAGGTTTATTTAAATTTAGTAACCGCGAGTGACAAAACCGATACTGCATTTTCACTCTTAAAAGTAAAATTAATAAATACAAATGGTAGCTTTTAAATTGTTAATAAAACATATGCACATTTCAGCTGTGTATATTAACATTAACAAGTTTTTACTTTTTTATTCCAAAACATATACATATATTAAAATTATAACGTAATAAAAACTAACCTTTAAATATATTTCTAAAAAGAAAATGCGGCTTAAGTCAAACAGTGCAGCGCAACTCCATAGACAAATAGCATTGACTAACCCACTTATGACGAAAACAAAAAAGAAAGTGGCATGGATACCAGCACGATATAGTTATCAAATCAAACAATCCGGTAGAAGATTTTTCTAAATTTATTTAAATCTGAGTGGGGGAGGGGTTGGTTACCTTGCCCCAGGCAGCACAAGATACGTCACAAAATAAAGGAATGATTTTGATACATAATTAAACTTCTTGGGACATACATGTGGGTGGTACGAAATGAGCTGTGTACATTTGTTCGTGGATGACAAAAAAGTTAACTCCTATGGTATTACATTTGTGAAAAAGGAGATGTTACATTCTCTTTTTACAAATATGGATATGTTCATTCTCAAAATAAAGGAATGATTTTGATAAATAATTACTTTTTTTGTGTAAATACACGTCGGAGGTAGGAAATAGTTTGTATACATTTTCACCTTAATGACAACATAGTTAACTCCGATGTTATTACAAGTGTGAAGAAAGAGATGTTACTCTCTCCTTTTACAAATATAAGTATGTTTACCAATTAAGAAGATCAATGGCGTTAACAAATCGTGGATACATTTATATAAGTATACCCATGAATATAAAAACCTAATCATTTTACACACTTGAAAACTTAATTTTGAAAAATAGATATGGGTTAATATTTACTTTCAAAAAATTAAAATATATTTTTTTTTTACTTTGCAAAAAGTAAAGATATTTATATTTTATGGGATTAACCATTTAAATTTAAAAAAAAACAACAACACTCAAATCTGTTGTAGACTTGAAAAACGGTTGCACGATTCTTCTTTAGATAAAAGAATTCTTTGTTTTATCATAATATATATATTGTTAAAAAGGCAAATATGTGTTTATACTTTTGCTGAAGATATCAATATATATCAAATTCCTATAATAAAAATATTTTTATTTAATATAAACAGTTTTGGTGTAAATTTAAGGCAATTTTTAAAAAAATTAAAAAAAGGGTAAATATAAAGTATTTCTCAAATTTATTAATTTTCCCTAAATTAATTTCTTAAGGGACAAAAGTGATATAATTAGTAATAATTTAGACTGTGTAATTTAAGGTCATGTTTAGAGGGGGAAAAAGTACTTTAGGAGCGTGAAAACGAGTGGGCTAGGCCTATAATATATAAATACTTCTCAAAACGTAATAATTTTAGGAACGTAAATATCATTACATTTTTAAAGTTATGAATTGTGATGAGTTTTTGCAATAGCAGTCAGAAATTATCGCATAAGCTCTACCATTATTATCCCGATAACTTCGGGTCATTTATTCTATATATAAGATTGAGCTAGAGTCACATAACTCCAAAAGGGAGATACTATTTAAGTACGTTCGTATTCCTATAAACAATCATAGTTATTTTCTATTATTTTCAAGAAATCGAATAAATTTACATGCGCCAAAAATATTATATTTCCAATTTTATTTTAGGAAAAAGTAAGTATTATTATTATAAATTACAAATAGGCCTACATTTAAAGTAACAACTAAGGAATTATTTTAAGCATTTTATCCAACTGTAAAAGTAATGAACAAATTTATTAATCAAAATAATATGATCTAAGAATTGCAACTTAATCACATTATCGGAAAAACCAAAAGATCAGTTATTCTTATACCGTATTTTAGTGCGTTGTTAATATTGCAAAATAAAAATAAAATTAGTTTCAGTAAAATAATTAAGCAAATGACGTCATAGCGTGTTTGCTCTAAGTTTTTAAAATATTTTATCATGGTGCGTGACAAAACTGATAATGTATTTCCCCTTTTAAAAGTAAAATTAATACATATAATATATTGCTTTTGAAATTCCTGGAATTTTCTAAAATTAAACACATTTTTAGCTTCGTATTTTTAACATTTAATGAGTTTTTACTTTTATTCTTTAAAAAAAAAATACTTTAATGAAAATTAATGATAGTTTCATTTGCCCAAGGCAGCATACGATACGCATATGAATGAATTTGAAAAATAATTAACCTTCTTAGGTGGGTTAGGAAATAGGGTGTGTACAATTTTACGTGGATAGCAATTTCTTTCAATCCAATGATGTTACAATTTGGTAAAATGGATGCTTTATCTAATTTCACCAATCAAGAAAACCAATGACGGTAACAAAATATAAGTACATTTACACAATTATACCCATGAATATCAAACTCATTCATTTTACACCAGCGAAAATTTAATTTTTAAAATAGCAATGGGTGAAGAATTTCTTAGATGATAGATGGATAGAAAGATAGATAGATAGAAAGATAGATAGATAGATATATAGATAGATAGATAGATAGATAGATAGATAGATAGATAGATAGATATATTGATAGATAGATAGATAGATAGATAGATAGATAGATAGATAGATAGATAGATAGATAGATAGATAGATAGATAGATAGATAGATAGATAGATAGATAGATAGATAGATAGATAGATCGATCGATCGATAGATAGATAGATCGATAGATAGATAGATAGATAGATAGATAGATAGATAGATAGATAGATAGATAGATAGATAGATAGATAGATAGATAGATAGATAGATAGATAGATAGATAGATAGATAGATAGATAGATAGATAAATTGACGGGCGGATGGATGGATGGCTGGATGGATGAATGTACTGATAATATATGGGTGTATGGATGGTAGACAGATTGCTTCCTTGAGTAGTTGCGCAAATGGTATCTTTTTATTGTTAAACAATGTTTATACATATAAAAATTAATGTGTGTATATACGTCCTGTATGCGCTACTTTACCATTTATACGATTGGGAATAAAAATTTTCTGAATTATTACACACATTTTACAATATTCTGTTTTGGGCTTAAGGCCTAAATTCTTTTTTTCTTCTGAAATATTGTTTTGAGCTAAACAAAATGTTGTTCATGACAGTATGTGCAAAAACTATCGTGGAATCTCCCTCCTCGCCTTCAGACCCTAGCATCGCGTGTACTCCCAGAATCGCAAAGTGGTTCTCGCGCCGGTAGGTCAACCATAGACATGATCTTCTCTCTGCGCCAGCTGCAGGAGAAGTGCAGGGAGCAACATATGTTCTCCTTTATTTTTTTACAATATAACGATATTTGCATCTTTCAGCTCTTGTGGTAGCTGTCCCTGTTCCCAGCACAGAGTAAGGAGATCGTATAAGGGCCGTAAAAGTACTCCTTTTCCACATTTGAGAGCTTCTTGTGGGATACCATCATGGCCCGGGGCTTTCCCACTGGCGAGACAATCGATGGCTCTACGTAGCTCTTCTATTGTGGGTAGGGTATCAAGCTCCTCCATGACCGGCAAGTCTGGGATATCGTCCAGGGCAGTGGTTAAGACTTGGTTTATCGTTGCTTATGTTTCCAAGTAGTGCTCTATCCACCGCTTAAGTTGTTTATCTCGATCAGTAATAATTTCCCCTGATTTGGACATTAAGGGCGCAGTCTTAGAGATCAGAGGGCCTGTTGCTTGCTTTATATTCTCGTACATTGACTTTGCATCCCCTCTATCAGCAGCTGATTGTATGCTGGAGCTTAAATTTAGCCAGTTTGTATTAGCGTAGTGGCGAGCTGCCTGCTGGGCATTTGTCTTGGCGCTTTTAAGCGATTGTAGAAGTGCTGGGCAACGTCTGTCTTTATAAGCTAAGAGGGCCTTTCTTTTTGCATCGGTGACATGTTTCATTTCCTGCCACTGGGCCTCGAACCAATCTGCACTTTTGCGTTCTCTTTTTCCAAATGCCGTGATAGCCAAGTTATAGATAGTATCCGCAAGATGTGACCATTTGGACACAATAGTGTCCATTGGTGGCGTTTGTACAAGAGTTTCTTGTAGACTATGGGTGTATACTTCTGTTCTCTCTGGGTTTTTGGTGGAGCAGATGTTTATGCGTGGTTTACTCTTGTTTTTGGTGTGATACAGTTTCTTTGGCTGTAGCCTTATCTTGCTAGCCACTAAGGAATGATCAGTGTCGCAGTCTGCGCTGTGGTAGCTGCGTGTGAGGAGGACACTGGCCAGTTGTGTGCGTCTTGTGATTATGAGATCTAACTGGTTCCAGTGTTTAGAGCGGGGATGCCTCCATGACACTTAAGGATACCCTTACAGTTGAAGTAGGTGTTAGTTACACATAATTCATGTAGGCAGCACAGTTCCAATAGTCTCTGCCCATTTTCATTTAGCCTGCCTCTTCCAAAATGACAGTGTCCTGTTGGCCAGGCCATGTGATCGCTTGCTACTCTTGCATTGAAGTCACCCAAAATGTAAATTGCTTCGTTGTTGGTATGCTGGCTATTGTTTGATTAAGATCTTCGTAGAACTGGTCTTTGGCTTCTGAGCTGGAGGAAAGGGTTGGGGCATAGGCACTGAGGATGTTGACTAAACCTGAAGATGTTGGTAGTCGGATAGTTAGTATTCTATTTGTGCCCTGTGTCGTTGGTTCTATGGAGAAGCAGAGTGTGTTTTTTATAGCAAAACCAATCCCATGTTGTCTTGGTGCGTCCATTGGTCCACCCTGCCAGAAGAAAGTGTAGTTGTGTTCTCTTATGGTACCAAATTCAGGGAGCCTAGTTTCCTGGAGACAGGCAATATCAATGTTTAGCCTGCTAAGCTCTCTATCAATGATAGCTGTCTTCCTTGCATCGTTTGTGATATGCAGGTCGTTAATAATGACCGGACACATTGTACTCACGTTCCAGCTTGCTAGTCGAAGAGCTGGGGTCTTCTTTTCTTTTCTTTTCTTATTTCTAGGTGCATGTTTTTGTGGCCTTTGAGCTCCACACACCCTGTGAGACATGACTATCTCTTCCACCATCAGAAGCAACCCCTGGCGCCTAGCTCTAAGCGAATTGAGCTATGGCTTAAAACCGGTAACTGCTGCCCCCCGTGTTGTGTTCACACCATTCGGGGCTGCGGAAGTGTCCTCTCCAGTGACGATAAAGCCTGGGCGAAGTAGTATGGAGAATCAGCTGCTGCCCAGACAGCAGATATCCCCTCTCCACGGCAGTGGTGGACCCAAGGGATCAACTAGTGTCGATATGGCTTGGCACCATTGGCGTCAAATTAATAATAGTTCATGACTAATGCTCCCCGCTGTAATTTCTCTTAATGTTATAGCCTCGATCTATCGTGTTGCAAAGTCTTTTATTGTTCTTAAGACATATTTGTTCTGTCTCTTTGATGTACCTATTTGACCTATTTGCTTCTGTTATGAGTTGAGCTTGCAGTCTACTCTTTAGATGTAGTGGTATAAGTTTTTGTCCTCTTTCTGTTCTTTCACTAGTTGTTCTTACTTATGTTCATAATGGTTGCACATGTTTCCTTTATTTCATTTGATTCTGATTCCTGTTCAACATTTTCTTTTTGTTGTGCTCTTGTAATCACATTAAGTTTAAGATCATGTTGCTGATTATTTGTTTTTTTCTTTTCATTGTTCTTTCTGTTTTCTGTTAAATTGTGAATTAATTCTTCTTTCATGCTCTCATAGTTTCCAATGTTATCTTGTGTTATCTTGTATGGTTTCTTATTTCCTATCATTTTTCCTCTAAGTAAAATTGCTTTCATGTGATCTGATAACTTTTCATTTCTAGCAATGGCATTAAATCTATGTAAGTATTTTCCCATGTTTTCAGTGCCATTCCATTTGCTCATTGTAATTTCCTTCATGCTGTCATTCTGTTTTTCTTCTATTTCATTATCTTGACAATCTTCTTTTTCTAACTTGGTAGAAGTATGCAGTTTTATTTGTTGTCTTCTCATCAAGCACTATTTCATTAAAATTTCACTATTTGTCAGGTATCACATCTGGAATGTTACCTATTATTAATGGTGTTTTAATTTTATCCATTACAACTGCTTGAATTTTTCCTGTTATCAAAGGTGTATCAATTTTAATAAACGCTGTCTGACAAGAAATAATTTTTCCATCTCCTAACTTAATCTTTTCTTTTGACTTAGTGAATTGATCTGATTTCACTAATGATCTGTCAACAACAATTGTTGAACATTCAGTATTTCTGAGACATAATGTTTATTTTTCATTCACATAAGCTGGGTAAAAACTTAACTGTCCTTTACAATTCAACATATTGGCTACAGTATGATTATATGCTTATCTTCCTCTTTCATAAGCTTTTCTTGGTGGATTGTTATTAGGTGATATTCTTCTGTTATTTTCCTGTCTAACATTGTGAGAATAATTGAATTTCCTGCCCTGATTCCAGTCTTGTCTTCTTAAATGTCCCTCTTTTCCACAACTCCAGCAATTAAATACACTATTTGAGTTGTTTCTGTTTGTATTTTTTCTTTCTGGAAGACTGCTATATTATCTTTTATGGTTTCCCATTGAATATAAAATATTCTCAATGTCATTTTTAAATTAAATTTTGCATTGGGATGGCTATCCTTAAATCTGAAATTGCATTAACTAATCCCCTCACAGATATATCAGTGGTACTAGTCACTAGTAGTAGTATTAGAATCTTGTACACATTAACGACCATCTTCCGCCATCTTGAATTTAAATCAGCTGATTGTTCCCGAAGGAAAACAATAGCTGGATATAATTATGATGGCAGCGTCTACACGTCCGTAGCGACGGACGTATGTCTCCCGCACTATCTATCCGGCGACGAAGTCACATGACCGCAGTAACAAAGGGGCGAGAGATATTTGTCAGTCTGCCTTGCCACGTGACTGCGAATGATTCAAAACTGTTAATTTTAAAATCTATTTCTCTACCAAGTAATTTACTAAGAATCTTGCAAACAAATAATAGAATAACATACTTGGGTATCTTACCAGAACAAAGTGGGGGTTAAGCAATAATGCATTTTAGAAGGAAGCAATGCTGAGATGGAAAGATAATTAAGGTAATAACAAAAAATATCAGTGAAGCTGAGGGTGATAAATAATTACGTCTAAGGCGGGGAGGCCGATAGTTCACAAATAAATAGACCCTACATCCTTAATGTAAGGGTCAATGTAGTGGAAACCTAACCTACTTCTCATGAAATAGTAAATACAAATTCTGAAATACAGCTTTATTGACATAATATAGGTGTATTGAAATGTACTGGTCTCATTTTATTTTGTTCATATTTTAAATTTAGGTTTCAAGCTAGAGCTCTACAAGATGTTTAAGCAAGATAAGGGACCTTTTTCGTTGAAGAGTCAGAATCAAATAGACTAGTAGTAGTAATAGTACTACTATTTAATGTATAGGCCGACTAGTTTAATATTCAAATATTCAGCTGACTCAAATATGTACACAATATGTTAATATCAAATGCAATGCAATTATTTAGTCGGCGACCACTTGTTGCATGACATGTATACTGCCGAAAAATATCTTTCACTAGTTGTCCGGCGGGGCAGTCACGTGCCCGCCGGAAGAATTTCTTCCACTTGTCGTCCGGCGGTCACGTGACATGGCCGCCGGACATATATCTCCAGCACTATTTGTCCGGCGCGTCGAATGTGTAGACGCTTCGAATTATGATTAGGTTCTCTTTTTCACTTGTCTACGTTCCTATTTATTCACTTTCTTATATTTTTTTTTCCGCTGCCACCAAATTGATTGGTGGTCTGTGTACCGTCTTCAATCACTCACAGTCTACCACAATCTAGTTATGATATGATCTATCTTATATAAATATAATAATAGAGCCGTTGTAGCTTCAAATGAAATAGTGACTATCCTTTATTAATACACAATCACAATATAATCACAGATAGATAATACTTGTACGGATCTTAAAAAATACATAGAATAAAGCTTCTCTACTTGATAACGTCACAATCACAATCGATTCATTATCTTATCACATAATAATTAATAATATGGTCTTAACCACAACCGCTATATTCTCCATCGTCCTTTGTACTCCTCTGATTGGTTCCTATTCCCAAGTGCTCATACTCTTATAAATTACATGTGATAATTTTCTCATTTTTTAACTCCCATGTAAATCATTATTAGGCCTATATGTGACACAAGCGTTCACAGTAACCTAGATTTTAGAAAAAAAGCGTTCAGTAATGCTAACATTTCAAGGGAGATAAAATTGTTGGGTGCCACTCATTCAAAAATTATTAAATTTGACTTAAAAATTCCAAAAATCATTACAATCCAATAATTACACATTTTCCCTTCTAGATTTAACAGTTTATAATTATGGTTTATCAGTTAGGGCCTACTAAGTATAAAAGATATGATAAAGAATATGATTATTTTGAATAATTATAACCCCCGCCCCAACACACATACACACACGTACAAACACACACGTCATCTAGCATTATTTGCTATTATCTTATAACCTTTTTGATAGACCTATCATTCTTAAGATCAGAAGTTTGAAATTTTTATTTGTTTTGCAGTGGTACTTAACTGCATTATGCTTCAGACACTGAACGATACGATTTTAATATGTCACTTTAGTGATTTTTTTTGGATTTTTTGTGCGTGATCAAAACACTAGCTATGGGACAACATTTTTTTTTTTTATTTTTATTTATTTTTTTTTTTAATTGGTAGCTTTATTCATTTAACAAAAAAATTATTTCTTTTCAATTGGGACTCAAGTTTCTTCATTCTTCATTTTTTTTGATTTATTTTATCTGTTAAAAATTAAAATATTTTTTTTTTTTTTTATTTTTATTTATTTTTTTTTTTAATTGGTAGCTTTATTCATTTAACAAAAAAATTATTTCTATTCAATTGAGACTCAAGTTTCTTCATTCTTCATTTGTTCTGATTTATATTATCTGTTAAAAATTAAAATAACAAATATATCCATCTCTAAATAAAAAAATAAATAAATATCACTTATTAAATGCAATGCACTCTGTTTGCTTATAAATTGATATTTATTAATACATTTAAATAATCTCTACAACAATTAAGTATTAGTTAGAGGGTGTTGCGTTGTGCAAAAAAAAATAATAATAAAAAATTAAAGGTAGGAATGAAACTGATGATCAGTGTCAAAAATTAGATTCAAAATAATAATATCATGAAAAACAAACTAAGTCATAATAACACTTCAGCTTATAATCCTAGTGATTAACTCAATGCTGTGCACATACCAAATATCTTTGGTTATCGTTGTGATTATTGCCTCTACCATGAAACCATGGTCATCACATCAAAATGTTTGAAAGCTTTAAAAGAAGCCAAGCGAAAAATAAATATCTTTACTAGCGTACTATGGAATCGGATTATTACATGTGATTGATTACGCTTTTGCTCGGTTTAAAAAAATATTGTTATCAAACAATGAAGATGAACTATGTATTGCCCTAATAAAATTTCATACAACTGAATTGCAAGCAGTAGCACGTTGCATATTTACGTGATCGGATGGGCATGACTAGTGTTTTCGAAATTCACATAAGGCTTTTTGAAAGTGAACTATTTATACATTGATAATTGCTGCTCTGGCCCACATGCATCCTAATTTGACTAAGAAAACTGTAATTTATCCACACACAAAAATGTGTAACTGATCTAATTAAAAAATTGTTTTCTCATTCAAATTTCATATACACTAAGCTATTAGTCGCTAAATTGACTTTGTTAATATTAGATTCGTAGATTAAGTTATGTTTATCATTTAAGATCACACTTTATTTTAGCATGCAGGTTATCATAGATGTTACTTACAATGTTTATATATAGAGATTGTCTTGCCAGACCAATGATTTTCTTGTTCAGCCGTACAATGGAAAACATGATAAGTGTTACACGACATATTGTAGGTCATTTCAATTGTTGTACTATTTTGAGTCAGTAGCGTCTGACCATTTAGTAACTTCACTACAGGAGACGGATTTCCTTCCGTTTCACAATAGAGATGAAGACTTGAACTTTGATTTATTAGAAATGTCGTACTTGATTCGCCATTAACAGTGAACTTCTTTACACTTCCTGGATCTAAGGATAGGACAATCATCGAACACAAGTTTAAAAGCAATTATCCACATTTAAAAACATTTACGCATTTTTTTTTTAAATGCAATAATAATGCATGCATTTAAGCAGTATGGGGTTAAATTTAAATTTAAGAATAAACGATAATATTGAAATTATTAATTAAAAATTTTTTATTCTTTAAATAATGATTTGTAGAACTTACATAATACGGATAAATTGTAAAACAATTTCTCACTTTTCCAAAGCCAAGCGTTTGTTGCCTGGCAGTAGTAGTCTGAAAACAAAAACAAAACTTATGGAAATCAAAATAGATTTAGAAACTAGAGTGGTGGAGAGTTGGGATACGATGAAACCAATGTATTTATATCAGCTAACTTCCCAATGTTACAATAACAAATTATCCATACAAGCCATTTCGATTTATTTAATTTATTTTATCCAAGATAGTTTTTTTTTCTTCTCCTAAACCAAATTTTACTATGTTCTTCTTTATTTCAATTTTATATTGAGTATTATAATGCGTTGACGTATGTATTTCATTCAACGTCTGACCGGCGATAATGGAATGATACAAATTATTTACATGTAATTTTATTATGGAGAAAAAAAGTGTCTTTTTTTTATAGATGAAACAACGTTTGGTGGTAATATTGTTAACTAATACTTTGAGCTCAATGTAGGCTAAGGCCTGCCTCTGTTAACTGGATAACTTATTCATTCCACTATCCACTCATCAAATTTATCTAACTTATCTGTTCTGTTCTTTCAAGAATTGAAATTTTTCAATTGTATAATTTACAGTATTTTATTACCTATAACAGATACATTAAATACATGTTTGATATGCGGCTATCCTTGTAACTATCATGGAAAGCAAAAAATATATATATACATACACGTTAAATAACATTCCATCTGATAGTAATTCAATAATCAATTCGAGAAGAAAAAAAAACAACAATATGTCTGACACCACCTTCAAAATAAAATCGTACACTCTTTCTTTTCTTAAAACATGAATTCTCCCTCCGCTATAAAAACCAATTCCCGTTTTTCTCGTGGGTTTACATAGTTCTCATTAAATCACTACGCCATTGTATCGTGCGAATAAATATTAGGGTAGTGTGAAAAATTGTAGTCAACTTGGTCTGTTACAATTGACTGGAAACAATTTTAAAATACTATATTCAATAACCAACTATGTTCAACTTAGCATCGTGTAGTTTAAATTGCATAGTTTTAAAAACAAAATCGAGAATTTTAAGTGTTAATAATCCTTGACATTTGATTGTTCTATGAACAAATATAACGATTTGATTAATAATACTTTGCATTTGTTAAGACCCGCTGATCCTCACCTTTGTGAGACCCGCTGGCTCACACTCTCTCCATCGCTACCCCACGTGACATTACGCAATTATGCTGGGCGTACTCTAATAAAAATTAATCAATGAGCAATGGAAATTAACCTGGTCACCTTGACCATGATCAGTGTCTGGCCAGAGCGTCAGACGCGACGCTGAATGGGACGCGTGAAAGCGGGACAGGACGCCAAATTTAGAGTATATTTTGAAGGCCCTAAATCATTTATCTCCTTTTTTCACCTGAAATCTGTTATTAGAGCCTGGCTGGCATAATTAGTTGATGAAATTTGTTTATCTAGATTGTGCTCAGTATAGTTGAGTCATTAGGCCTATTAGATAAACAGATACGGCGGAGTGACCAGTGACCAGCGAGAGGGCTGTATGTGTATGTGTGTATGGACCCACCATTACAGAGTTAGTCTACACCGCAGTGCGCTGTGACCAATGACCAAAGTGAGAGGGAGGCCAAACCATCAAGGTAGCTGTGTGTGTGTTGGACTTACCCAGTGGACGAGATCGCCAGTTGGAAAATAATAATTAGAATATCGGGCAGTTTATCTTGTTATCTTTTATATGTGTATAGTATATGTAATGTGTATGTAGATGATTCGGTTTTATAATTGAATATTTATTTGTGGGCTGAACCACCTTTGTTTTATTAGTATAGTTATAGTATTAAAAGAAGTGAGGGCTAGTGAGAGTGTCATTAAATGTTAGAGTGAGTGTGGAGGGAGATTAAGTTACAGTACTTAATTAGAAAATATATATAGTCAGACCCTAGACATAGCCCTAGTGGCCGTACTAATCTACGTAGTGTAAAACAGGGTACCTTTATATAAATAAAAACCCTTAACACAAAATATATTATTATCTATTTTTTAAAAAAAGGTAGTGTATAGTAGCTCTTGGCTTAAATAATTTACCTGGCTGTTTACTATCCACATGAAATGTAATCATGTGAGAAGGGTTATGATTTTTTATCTGATCCCTCATGTCATACCATGAAATAGAAACATTGACAGCATGACTGGCTTCTAATGTACAGTTACATGCTACTAATGATTTCTGATGTACAACTTGAGGACAGTGAGCTATTGAGACTCGGGGCTGTTCTTTGAAATAAATAAGATAACAGATTAATACATAATATATCTGCTCAAAAGATACGTATTTTTAAGTAACTTATAGTTTTATTTTTATTTTATACTTATATTTGAAATGAAATTTGTATTGCATACATGTGTAACATAATGATGTTCGATGTAAAAATACAATAACGTCATTAGAAGCACTATTTCGTGTTAGAGTAGTGATAGGTAAATCTAAATATAGAGCAGGACGAACATGTAATACTAACCTAATTTAAATGTCTTTGTAAAATTGTTTGCCAAATTCACGTCACTGTCGGTACCTGTAACTTTAGGGAACATGGCCACATTGACATGGTACATTCCTGGGCTCAAAGCGGACTTTGGAACAGATAAAGTGCAACTATTTTCCAAATTATTCGTTTCACCTGGATGTCTCTCATTGTTGTAAGAAACATTTTCCATCAGGTATTTAGTTTCCTGTCAAATGTCAATACATTTGTTAGTGGTATTAATTTCTTTTTAATACTGATGACAATTATTAGACTTAAAATTCTAAAACCAATCGTCTCTTTGAGATTTAATGTAAATTAAAGTCATATTTTTAAAAGAAAATAACGTGGTTGCCGTTTAAACAAAAATACAACATTATTATTATAAAAATAAACATACGTTTACAGAATTCGAATTTTAACTTTTAAAATAAAAAAAATTAATTAATGTGTCATCTTATATTATTAAGGGCATTTGAATGTGCTGTGAAAGAAAAAAAACCCAACAAAACATGACATTAATTGATAATAATGCTCATTTGAATGATAGCATGTTACAGTGTTTACTAAGTTGATATGTAACAATCTTCTTTAATTTATTTCAAAGGTGTGCATTTATATGACTTATTTGTAACGTAAGTTAGTTGCTGGGTGGCCGATTTGTCTAAACTGAGAAAATCTTAAAATGATGGTCCAGAGTACAATTACTACTAAAGCCCAGTCAAGCGTAAAGCCCAGTCAAGCGTAAAGCCCAGTCAAGCGTAAAGCCCAGTCAAGCATAAACATTGCCAGCACCCCTTGTTTATGGGACTCGTAAACCTTGGAAGGGAACTCATCTAAGAGAAGTAAACTCTCAATTCAAACCCAATGAAACATTAGGACAACTTCTGCGATGCCACTTGATGCCACATTCGCCAACCTGTACCATCCATGTGGTGCTCCCTTGGGTTTCTCCAGCAGTGTGGAGAGAGCCACGTTGCTGCTGGAAACCAGCTCATAATCCTTGAAGAATTGTGGTTTTCACATTGTGACGGAAGTATGCCAGCCAAAAATAGCCCCCACCACCACCCAAAAAACCCCCCACCAAAACATGTGCTATACTTATAGTAACTTCAATTATAATAATGGATTTGGTTACCCCGTTTAAATAGACAACAAATTTGCATGTTGTTTCTTGTTGAAAATCGTTTGCAGAGCAAATTAATTGAAAACCTCCATCAAAAATGTGAAGCTCACATGTCTCGTTTTGGAATCTGGCTGTAAATATTAAGAATTGCAATTATTTTTTTAAAAAAAGGAAAAAATAGTATGACAAAAAACAACTTTATCTATTTAAAAAAAATGTGACAAGTTTTATTGTAAAACCTATCAAAAATGTTTAAATACACTTGGAAAAACTTGCCTATAAGTCAAAATAAATGACGTTTAAAGGAACTATACCTACATTGTTATTTTCTTTTATAATAGGTTATATTATTTTAAGCCTTTAGTACTGTATGCTATTTCTATGCAAGTAGACATACGTGAATGTAAGCATCATGCATTTTGATTACTTTTTTTTTACCTTTTCAGCGAAACTTAAACTATATACATAAATATTTGTTTTATAAAAAAATATGAAGTTACAAGTAAACGTTAATTTTTTTTTTAAACCGCTTTACTTTTGAGCTAAAACAGAAAAAATATTGTTCTTCTTTAAGGTAATTCTCAGATTAATACGATAAGAAAATGTGTATCTATTATTTTTAAAGAATTGAATATTTGCACTACTTTAAACTATTATTGGAGTTGGATCACCAACCCGATACAAAAAAGGAATACAAAGAACTTTAAGTCTGTGTAATGATATGACTAAAGCATTTAATAATTTAATACAGTATGGAATTCTTAATAAATACTTAGTAATTGTTATTCATTTTTTATATATTTTTTTTTAAAATTTAACAGTGTGATACTTACAATAAAGCGAAAATCTACACGGTGCTTCAAAATATTCGCCAGGTTTCTGAATGGAAAACGAAGTATAACCATCTGATAGTAGCAGTTCTGTTGTGACGTTAAGAATAGCAATCTCAATTATTACATTTTCTTTTACTTGTGTTTGGGTGATGTTATAATGATTTTTATCAAAAGTTTTACA